AGTGGCAGGCATGCGTGTGCACAGCTCCATTTAGGCTGGTGGTGGGCACACTTGTCCACTACTCATGGAAGTGGGGATGCATACATATGCACGCTCATCCATGGCTCATGCAGAGCCATCCCCTCTCCCCACTTCCCCTCCGGCTAGTCCACAAAGCTGGAAAGGTTGGATAACTTTGACTTAGACCACTTGCAATCACCTAACTAAAGTTTTTGACATTTTTCCATTTTTTAAATTAATATATTTTCCCTTTAAACTGCCCTTCAACTATCACTACAAACACACACACACACACAGTATGTATGTATGTATGTATATAAGTGTATGTGTATATATATATATACACACACACACAGACATACATACACACACACACGTGTGTGTGTGTGTGTGTGTGTGTGTGTGTGTGTGTGTATTTTAAACAATCTGATTATGCATCGCCTTTCTGCTCATTTCTCCTTGTCTAGCCCATCAGAAGAAAATAAAGAAGTAGAGATGCAGAGAGTTTGCATAAACAAATAAATGTTGGCTCTTTTTCACCTCCTCTGACATAAACCTCTCCTGGCACCATCTTTTTTCCTGCCGAATTCCATGACATTGCCTTTTTTTAAGGTCCATGAATGAGGTCTCCTTAGGTTATTCTCAATTGAACCAGTGTGAAAATATTTCCTCCCCCCTTTATTCCAACAACGTGCAAAGATGTGGAAAATCTGTGGAAAAAAATCAGGAGATTGGCAATGATTGGAAGCGAAGGCAATATATGCAGGCTAAGGATTGACAATAGGGGCAGCAAATGTCAAGACAGCATGGTTTTCTGCCATAGGTGACAAGAACTTTCTCGGCATTGGAAAAGGCACATAGTGAGTGTCAAGAAAGATCAAGCTGTTGGGAAAGGCTGGAAGTAATTGTTCAGTATGCTCCACATCCTTGCTTTATATTTTGTCTTTTGTCAATTATAAATGTATAAATTATAGATATTATTACTACAGAGAGGCAGAAGAACACACATATAGCCCAGCACTAAACCACAGGTTCAACTTGACTTGCTCCAGAGGTGCATATACTGACATGGTCCAGAAAGACATGATGGTAACAGGGCCCCTGAGACCCTCAAAGCACAGCAGTGCTTTAAAGCAATGTTTCCCAGTTGATGGGATGTGTATATTAGCAGGACACAGAAAAGCTCAAATAGGATGCAATATTTTCATAAAAAATACTAGGAATTCTCTTTCCCTGTGTCATCTTGCAGATTTAATGTAGGGAAAGCCCAAAATCTGTTTGACAAACATCAGGACCTGCAAGCTGAAATGGCCTAAAGTCAGATGGGCTTAAAAAGAGAAGAGCTGCTGGATGACCCATAGGCTCCTCCAGGGAAAAATCTTTGTCCAGATTGTCTCCTTGATTATTTGATTATTTTTTTTACTTGCTTCAGTTTTGGATTTCCTCGGCAAATAGCCCCTTCTCTTCATGTCCCATCTTGCGAAGTCTTTCCCCTGCGTTTTTTATTATTATTTCTTAACATACTTCTCACAAATGAGCTAAGAGTTCTTGAAGCAGAAGAGAAGATTGACAGCTCCTCCATGGCAACTTCTGAAAAAACAACAACAACCTTTCCTTTCTGTTTGGAAGAACCCTGGTTTTTCTCCGGGCCTCCTAAGAGTTTTGGTGTTTGGAAAGTAGCTTCAAATTGCAAGGGAGCCAATAGAGAGAAGAAAGAAATAATGGGTGATCTGGACAAGCTGCTGCACTTTCTGAAAATTCTTACAAGGGGTGTCGCGGGGTATGGTTAAAAAAGAGTCAAAATGCAACTGTGACAGTGTGATTGCAGCTCTGAACAGTTTCCTGGGCATTATACGTACAATACAAAAACAAGCAGAGATTCAGTCATGCATCACGGCTGCCATCTTGACTTTTTTTGACCCTATCCTCTGAAGACATCGATTCTTACTTTCAATCTTTTACTTTCTGCCTGGAACTGCTGAGCTGCTGGGCATCTTTTCACCTATCTTGTTACTTTGCAATAAAAGCCAAAAGCTAAAGGCAAGCTTGGGGGGATAGATTGTTTATTGTTGTTCTGGGAAGGGTTTGATTCACTGTTGTTGTTGTTGTTTTTTTTCCAGTAGGGGAGCATGACTGCATGGCCTCTTCTGCAACGGAAAAAAAAATAAAAATTAATTGGAAAGATAGGATAGGAGGAAGTTACTTTAAAATTAAAATAAAAACCCATAGTGCTTGTAGACATAGAGATGTCTGTAGAAAAAGATGGCCTTTTTGTTTCTGTCATAGCAGAATACAAGCTACTGGATAGTGTCTTTATAGATGGAAATCTCAGCTTTATTTTACATCTGAAAGTGGGTTTTACCACCCACCTTTTCTTTTTCTTCCTAGCTGTGGTTACTTTTAATCCATTTGTTTCAGATTTAAAATACTCCATTAGGGGAGAAATGGGTTTTAAAAATCTTTGGGGAAAGAGTTGGCTGGTGGGTGGCTTGTTATCGTTAACATCCCCTTTGCTATGGATTCAGGCTAACACAAATGTTCACAGGATTCTGCTGCACAATTATAACGTGGCCCTGAGTTTGGGGACAATCAACTGGCCAAATGCTACTCCTCTTGCTTGTTGTATAAAAGGGAGAGTAAATCTGTCCCCCCCCTCCCCTTGGCTTTTCTGTTTACAGACCAAGTTAATCCATGAAGACAATGTCTGAAGTCAAGCCTTGCAGGATGGCACAGGAGGAGAAAGGGACTGAAGCTTTGCTCAAGTCATCAGATCCTGCATTCAAACCCCAAAAGAAATGTCCTGCAGCTCTGGGCTACAAGATGGAGCAGGCTTTAATTTCTGAATATTTCCCTCAGGTCATATATTCAGGAGGATTTAAGCCCGAGTGTCTTAGCTTTGCCTTCTATAACCCTAATTATTCCAATTCCTACAATCCATTTTACACTTTACAAAAACCAACCTGTGGCTATCGGTATTGTCGAGACACTGACCACCGAAGGAAAGTCATGGATATCGAGAGAGTAAATATTCCAAAATGGAGAACTATTGTGCAGAAAAAGCCAGGCGTGACTTCAGAAGGCACAAAAGTCTGAAACAGCTTTGTTTTTTTCCTGAGACTTTCCTAGCAGCATTCTGATTCAAAATCTGAACTCTGTCATCCTCCAAGCATATCTAAAAAGAAATGCTGTGGGAGATTCAAATTAAAAAACAAACAAGCAGAGTTCTGCCTTACAGCAAGAGCTTCTGGAACCAACCATGATGGAATAACTCAAGTCCTACAAGAAAGATATCAAAGCCGCCTTACTTTGGCTTTGAAACATCTACAGCTGTAGATCTCCCACCAGCCAGAAAAGCACCAAAATGAAGATCAAATGAGCAGATACTTTTCTCTCTGTTGCTTTGTTTACTACATATATTTATTATTTCCAGAGAAATAGGGAGAACTAAAGCCAAAGCAATTTCCGATTTGTTTTGTATAGCCAAGCATAGTTCCAGATATTACAATGAAAAAACCCCACAATACTCCCTTTAGCATGTGTGTAACAGAACTATATAACATTCACATAGATATTCAGAATCTAATAATTAAGGATAATCACCTGTAGAATAGATGTAAAAATTACAAGGCCAACTTGTAATTGGGTTACATCATTGCTTCCCAAACCTGCGTAAATTACCCAAAATTAAGTAAAGGTGATTTTTCTTTAAGTAACATACAAATTCAATTGCAACAGTACATTTAAATAAGGACTTTCTGATAAGCAGTGAAAAAGATTTTCTGATAAGTGGGTTTTGGGTAATGAAAGAAAAGGGTTGGGAAGCCCGGGATTGCTGTATTTTTCGGAGTATAAGACACACCGGAGTATAAGACACATCAAGATTTTGAAGAAGCAAATTAAAAAAAGTTTTTTGCACTCTGCAGACCTCCTTCACAAAAACGGGCCCATTTTTTGTCCAAAAAAGGGCATGCATGGTTTTTAGAAAGCTTGTAGAGTGCTCCTGGCAGTTGGTGGGTGGGGAATGAGCAAAAGGCCCATTTTTGCAAAAATGGGCCCATTTGTTTGTCAAAGAAGGCATAGCCTTTAGGAGGCTTATAGGGTGCTCCTAGGGGTTGGGGGGCAAAAACGAGCAAAAGGTGGTCCGTTTTTCACTCATTTTTGCCCTCCCCAGCCCCCAAAAGCACTCTGGAAGCCTCCTAAAGGCTATGCACGGCCATTTTTGCAAAGGGGGCAGGGTTTCAGGAGGCAAAAAATGTGGTATTCAGTGTATAAGACAAGACACACCCAGATTTTTACCCTCTTTTTTGAGGGAAAAAGGTGCGTCTTATACTCTGAAAAATATGGTATATGAATTCTTACAAGATCTATTAAAAGCATCTGGCTTTGTATGTGTTTTGAAAGAGCTGGTTCAGAAATTCAGTAAAACAATTGATATGAAAGCATTATAGCCTCTGAATACATTCACAACACACACACACACACAGAATTATATATGAAAATGATGAAATGTGAAGCAATGTATGCAAGGCTGAGAAACATGTGTTCAAGATAAAACGAGATTCTCACAGGTTATTTTCATTTTATTTTCATTCACATATATCAGGGCTGTCAAACTCCCAGCCCATGAGCCGGATGTGTCATGTCCCTGGTTTAGTAAAGGGGGGGAAAGTCCTTATACGTCACATGATACGTATCATGCACTGTAAATGGGGCAGCCCTTGAAGAGCATTTGGAGACTTCAACTTGTCCAGAATGCAGCCGCGTGAGCGATTGTGGGTGTACCTCGATACACCAACATTCCTCCTATCCTCCGCGAGCTGCACTGGCTTCCAATTGGTCTCCGGATACACTTCAAG